GCCGTTTTCTCGTTCGCAAAACATCGTAAATTCAGTCTGGCCGCCATTTTGTTTTTCTCTACTAGCAGGATATGAGCTAATATCCTGGTAGTAGAGAACCAATCAGATTGCAGAATACCTCATATCCAGACCTTGTGTATATAATAATACTGGATACCTGGTAAAGTAGTATATTGATCCAGTCCTAGGACTGAATCAAAATTAATTCAGTCCTTGGATCTAGATCAAAATCAATTCATGATCATCAGTCTTTGGACTGGATCAAAATTAATTCACATCACTTTAATGTTTTAATGTTTTAATAAGATTCGGCAACTACCTAAAAATACAGCAATGTAGTGCCAGAAAGTTCGCCACAGGTTCTCCCAATTACGGCGATCCCTTAAATTACGTTCAAGTAATTGATTAACGAAACAGTCTAAGTAGAACAACACAATTACAAAACGGCTAAACTGACAACTAACGACAGTTTAAAACACCATCAAGGGATCTAGCCCTTTTACATTTAACACAGACAGATTTCCAAGTCCGAGTATCGTCACAGTTATACATGTTGTCATTTTAAATCCTCCAATTCGGACTGGACTCGATTTCAAGGGCTTGCATTTTGACCCAGTCTTCGGCTTCGCCTCGGGCTTGATCAAATTGCGCCGGGACTTGAAATGTAGTCTCGGTCGGACATTTGACTCGGGCTCGGATTTGACTGTGCTAACCGATCGACAAACTCAAACGTAAATAGCGCATGAGGTCTGTTTCATGTCCAAGTGAGTCCAACTTGTATTATTGGGGTTTTTTTCAGACAAGCCCACAAGTTACTACGAAATCTTGCAAGAGAAGCAAGTGTGATCCTGGCTTCAGGCAAGAACAGGAGTATGAAGTTTAGTCGTTGGATTTTCCCGAATGTAGTGAAGTCTGGAGACATAAATAACGCAGAGCTCGAGGAATAATTTGGCCGCTGTGTCCAAGTGTTCGGTTATCCGTTCAAAGTTTTGGGCAAGGTCGTGTGGAAGAGTCTGGGTTTGACTGAAGAAATTAGGGATAAATTAATTGATGTATTTATACATGCATGCTAATCTGACATCGCAACATTTATACAAACATGTTGGTCAACGATAATTTAAAACAAAGCGAATGATATCGGAGGTAGATAATTTGATGTATTTGATTGTTAAACAATCTTTAATGATTACTTATCTTCTTTCAATTGTGCAAATTAGGGCTGGAATTCCTACAACTACAAGGAATATAGAGAAATATCCAGAAAGAAAATTTCTTCACAGCCAGCTTCCACATAACATTTTTTTGCAAGGACAATTTCCCCTTCTCCCAGTATATTTATCCCATGCAGTATATTTATTCTCCTTTCTCACAATTTCCCCTTCTCCCAGTATATTTATTTTTCCCGAATACAATGAATTGATATGAAAAATAATTCTTATGCAAAATTAGATCCATTGACAATAATATACACTGAGATGCATACAGAGTTTAAAAAAATGATTTTCCAATGCTTAGAAAAATATTCATTACAATTAAAACACCTTATTTCAAAATACAAATATTGCGTTTAATATCCATGTGAAAGCCATTATTTATTTATATATGTGTAGATTGTGGTATTTAAAATTAAATAATTATGCTTTTGCAGAAACTTAGCTATAAATAAAATTCATCAATTTTTTATATATACTGTATAAGTGGTTTAAAAGCTTAAAATGCGTATTCAAAAATAAGCATATCTGCGGTGACAAAGGTCTGTGTTTATTTGTCTCAGCTGCAATGTCATTGGCTGGTTCTTTTCGCATCAACAGGTATGTTTTTGTATGGTTTTTGCCTAAATACTTCGTTAAAACATTCTCATTTGACATATTCAATTTTATGTCTGCATAAACAGTTATTTTAGCCATATATTGTTCACTAAACTGGAAAAAGAATTTGGTATTTTATTTATTCTTTTCAGTCTGGACAAACTCACCAATGGAGGTAAGATCTATACGTAATCTTAAGTTAATTTAAATAGTTGGTTAAAAGCTCTAGTAAACTATCTCAAAAGTCGTAGGGAGCTTTCAGGCAAGACCAAGGGTCTTCCAGCTTTCCATCGAAGGCCAACAACATGACTTGCGCAAAATGCCCTATTAATTTACTCGGTGTGGCTACCCAAGGCCAAGACTTTCATTTGCGAAATTGATAACGTTATGATAACTAGAATTCCTTGAGGTTCAAAGGATTTAAAATAACGACCCCCGGATAGATATTAGTGGCATTGACAGCAAAGTTTGACATAAATAAACCCAGCTATAATCAGACAATGTCATTAACTGCCCTTTCTTTCGTTAAAACAAAGTATCATAGACAGATTTGGGAGTTTCAGAACAATAGGAAACAATTGGGAGTATATTCTCAAGAGAGATACAAAAGAATTATTCACTCTGCCCCCTCTGAGCTTCGCAAAGACAGAGATGAAGAATTTTTTCTTTTGAAATCGTTTTTGTTTCGCTTATAAGTACATTCTTTTTAGACTTAGCGATTCTGCTTATTCGAAGCATAATCATGGCCCATAATTGTTCGAACATCGCGTGTTATAACCGAATCTAAAGTATATATGTAAATGTTAAACTCATTGTTTAATCTCATTTGCATGAAGAATTTGACATTTGAACATGCATATGTTGCACACTTCTGCCTTATATCTCACACGTGTAAACTTGATTTGAAAGCTTCGTTCCTTCTTCGAGAATTCAGAAAATGTTTCCAAGAAACAGAAGTGTGTCTTCGTATCGCCAGCCGATTTTACTAGTTGACAATGGAACCGTTTGGGCAGTGCTTTTAAGGCAACGAAAGGAGCTAATGTATAACGAACTTCCTGAGCAGCTGTCGGTTATAAAAACATGCAGACGGTGACAAAATAGTCAGTATTTGTGTTACTCCCTTTGGACTATCACTACAGGGGTTCGATTTCTGATCATAGTCACCATGTAGCCAATTCTGAGAAAAATTATCCCAGTTTGACTCCATTAAACACCGCAAGTTTCTCGAAATACTTCGGTTTCCTTCGATGGCCCTTACTGGACCTCTAAGACTCCACATAAGGAAAACAGTTTATTGAAATGTACCGAGGCTTTCCGCAATATAAACACAGTCATAATTTAGATTAGGTTTCTTCACTTTTCCTGCTGTAGTATCATGCACTGGATCAATAAAGGATGACCCTTACTTGGCCTCTTTATACAGAGAATAGTTTAGAACTGCAGTATCAATAAAAATAGTTTATAGTTCTATTTGCGTCCATGTATTTTTGATGAGATATACGAATTGACATATTCAATTATGTTCTAAATCAACAATGTTGAACTGAGGGATTTAATTGCTGTAAACATTCATAACTTTGCCTCTTTGTACTTTTTATTACGTTGATGCAGGAGACGGTACAACATGTAATATCATCGAAAGAATTAAACATGGCCAGCTAAAGCTAACATTGGGATAAAATATTCACAGGTAAGCGACTGGCAGTTTTATTCTATTGTCCCCGTTTCTTTTATCATTAACCGTTTCTTTCGTGGCAAAGTAAGATATTTCAGGTCCTTGGCAGTTGACGGATTAATGATGGTTGATTTATGGTAGCTGTTGACCTTTTTATCCAAACGCGACTTCACTTTTAACTTGACCAATACCTAATCGTGCCTCGATAGCTATCAGTAGGCTACATAGTTAAATATTCTTGAAAGTCACTGGATATATAAAGGGTTATATTGGTCATATAAAGGGTTCATGAAGCTGGTGTATCTATTTTGATGAAATATCAAGCCGTTTATGGCAGGGTTACCTTAACAACTAGTTTGTATCAGGTAAATTCAAAGTCTGAAGGATTTGTACTGAAGAAATGTTTGAGGACCTGACTTGGTGTTCAACACTGATTCGGTGGTTACTGGGACTATCATTTTTAAAACACCAATCTATTCATGCATGGTTTGCATTTTCAGATGTCATTTTCAATCAAACGAATGTTAAATCTTGACCATCGAACGTATTAGCCCACGGTCTTATTGTGGCAAGCGGAGTGCCGCGAGACGGTCTTCGTTTCATATGCATTTTCAAAAGCAAACAGCGCTCCATATCAAGTATTCAAGCACGTTAACTATTCTTGACATCACAATGTCTGAGCCAATTAAGTTCTGTTTGAAAACTGTAATCCAAGTATAACCGACGTAAAGATTTGAGACGTCACTTTCATTCTATTTCGAAAGTATCAGACTGAGTTGCTAGCCGCTGGCTCTAGTTTGATAATCGAAAAATAGTTCAGCTTTCTTGGGCTAGATTTGCTTCTATTGTTTGAATATTCGTTATCAATACACGCTAACCAGCGGTCCAGCACATGTGGCGCGTGGACACCACAGTTTTGTGTTTCAAGCTGGGAGACTATAGGGTTCAACCCTTGGTCGGATCTCTGCTCAAACTAGGTCTAGTTGAAATAACTCAGGAGAAAGAGCTACCTTTACATTGACATAATGAGTAAATTGGTTAGACTTTCGCGTCTTCTTGGATGTAGACGTTAAATCGTAGGTATACTTCGGATGCCTTATCATGCAATTGAGCAATACTAGCCTGTTGAAAAAAAAACGCTCACAAAATCGATAAACTAAACGGTAAAACCCCGCAAAAGAGAACCAGTGGCACTTAATTCAAACTGGTCCAATATTGTATGTTGTTGGTCCAAGAATGTTGCACAATTTGGAAGAAAATCTTATACAAAGTCAAACCCAAAATCTTTCAACTATATAAAAGTAGTTTACTGTACTGTAATACTGTATAGTGTAGTGCATGACCTAAAACATGTTCTTGGCGTCCTTGTGTAATATATTCAAAGTAAATACATTTTATTTTCATAAAAATGTTTTGGAGAGGAAGTTAGAACCAGTAAAGAACCGACCCTGCTTGTTGTAATACTATAACTGGTATAAGAATCATTTCAGCCTAGGCCTGCCACCATTATATAGTCGGGTTCTTTTTTGCGGGCTTCTCTACTTGCAGACTGAAGGATTTTTTGTTAGTTATAGATACTTGGAGCGGAAAATTATATACACATTTTAGACCTGCTCGGAAGCAGCTGAAATAATGCAATCTGCATGATATTATATAGGCCGCCTTCCGGCAGAGATCAAACCTACAATGGAATTGAAATTCCACGAACGAAATTACCCTTCAACACTCAGTTCCACATAGCGTGATAGCCAAAAATACTGTAAATTTTTGTGTTTATAGTTGACAGTTGTCCTTTGAGTTGCTTTTAAATGAATGTTTTTAATTTCCCAGATCTATTATTGCATTAACTCTTGCTGCCATCAACTAATCATATCGGAATTGCCTGTTTTAAACATCATGAGACGTTTTGAATTTTAGAATTGTGTTGGACTGAATACCGACTCTAACAGCCATTAATATACAACGCTCTTCCAACCCAAGTCCAACTTACTTGTTTTAAAATAAGCTCCTTAATCCCAAATACAATTACCTTGGCTTTATTCCTCTTATGACGCAAATTAACATATAAAGTATGCAAGTGACATATTCAATTCACTAATAACGACCAAGTTTCGATATTTAGCTGTCTGTTTTTATATTACACTTTTGCTTTTATTGGAATATTTGTGTTGTAATGCGAAAGTAAAGTATATGGAGCAGAATTTTGGTTTTTAAAAGGATTTCAATTACCTATAGTTGCTGTGGAATTATTGCGGTCTAAGTCTCAGAAAATGGGTAATGAGTCGTTATGTTGTAATTGCTTTAATGGTACATGTATCGTTATGTATATTGATTGATGTGTTACTATAGATCTTTGTACAGTAACTATACCGGAGTTTAAATAAGTCTAGGTCAATCAGTTAAATATATCTTCCAGCTGTTAACTTATTTTCTAACTTCGTTTGCTATATAAAATTGAGTATATTTACACAAACGGATGAACAAGTTTTAAGCATGCTAATCCTTTTGTGGCAAATTGTTATGTTGCGAATTAAACTGTCTATTATATGCTAGTCAGTACCATTGTTGGTTATATTGTGAATAGTTTAGAACTTATAGAGCTTTAAAGTGTGTTTTGTTTAGATTTCCTTCTGTATGGTAACACTGGCCGGACAATAACAGATGACACTTACTGGACCTCTAGGAAGAACATGTACAGTTTAGAACTGATAAAGCTATCCAGCACTGTATTTTTAAGGCATTAACACAGTTTAGATCAATAATGGATTATAGCTGACGATATATATTTTCTTTACATATGTCAAGCACAGAAAACGAAGATTTACACCAGAGATATTCATCACTGCATGAACTCTATCAAAAAGTTTTAAAAGAGAAAGAGGACGCCCTAGAAGAAACTGAACGGGCGACTATCTCGTTTGCTCGACACTTTGATAGCGAGGTATGCTGGAATATAAGTATAGGTCTTGTAAGTGCCATCTATTGTATATTGATCGAGTGTTACTACAGGAGGAAACCTAAACTAACTTCCTTTATACTGCAGGATGCTCTATCAGTTCTAAACTGTTCTTCCTAGAGGTCCAGTAAGAATCATCTCTTATTGATCCAGTGTTACTACAGGAGGAAACCTAAACTAAACTAACTTTATTTATACTGGTTAGTTCTGTCAGTTCTAAACTGTTCTCCCAAGAGGTCCAGTAAGGATCATCTCTTATTGATCCAGTATTACTACAGGAGGAAACCTAAACTAAACTAACGTCCCTTATACTGCATAACTCTATCAGTTCTAAACTGTTCTTCCTGGAGGTCCAGTAAGGATCATCTCTTATTGATCCAGTATTACTACAGGAGGAACCCTAAATCAAAATAACGTTATCCTACATGAATAACAATATATCAGTAGTTTAAGCCGTTATTTCTAGACGAGAGGTCTAGTAAAAACCATGAGAAGACTGGGATACCTAAAAAAAAACCTGTAGTGTTAAGTTTCGTAGAGTCAAACTGGAAGCACTCTTCTCATATGTGACTGAGGTGGAATTTGTGATCAGACAACTAGATATTGCGGAAATGAAATCCAGAGTTGAAAAAACACATGCCACAAACGTCTCTGAATGTCATGTGTCTTAATATCGTAACACAATTTCAGGTCACCAGCCTCAACAACCAACTCCTCTCACTAACTGAAGAGCGGGACAAAGCTCTCGTTGAAGCGGAGGACTTGGGAGTCAAATTAGCCAACAGCAAATACGAACTGAATCGATTGCAGCGCGAACACATCAAACTTCAGTTGGAGCAAGAAAAAGTTCTCGAAAAATTTGAACGTTTTCGTGAAAGTTCGAAGAAAGGCGAAGAAGAAAAATTAGATTTGAACGAAAAAAGTGGAATCGTAGCAGGCGAAAAAAAAATGGAGGTAAAAATATGAAAGATGTCTCAAACGTGGTGGTCCAGTGTAGGTAGTATTTTACAATAAGCTGTCGTGGTTAATTGTGTCTGAACTACCTGAAAAAGATATCTCAAACGTGGTGGTCCAGTATAGGTAGTGTTTTACAATAAACTGCCGAGGTTTGTGTCAGAACTACCTGAAAAAGATATCTCAAATTAACGTGGTGGTCCAGTATAGGTATTATTCTACAATAAACTACTTTGGTTCAATTGAGTCTGAACTACCTGAAAAAGATATCTCAAACGTGGTGGTCCAGTATAAGTAGTATTCTACAATAAGCTGAAGTTTGGTTTGAGTCTGAACTACATGAAAAAGACATCTCAAACGTGGTGGTCCAGTGCAGGTAGTAATTTACAATAAACTGCCGTGGTTTGTGTCAGAACTACCTGAAAAAGATATCTCAAATTAACGTGGTGGTCCAGTATTAATAGGTAGTATTCTACAATAAGCTGCATTGGTTTGAGTCTGAAATATCTGAAAAGATATCTCAAACGTCGTATAGGTATAGGTAGTATATAGGTAGCTTGTTACCAAAACTCACCTTATTCATTGCTCCATGCCGATTGGAAAAATCTTCTATAACACTCCTGTGAGAATTTTAGAATACAAAAATATGACTTCGATGTGTGGGTGCTTATTTTGTTATGTTTTGTTTATTAATTAAAACGTTCTTAGCTCGCTATTCATGCATAGAAGTATTCAAATTGGCTGCCAAAATGTTTATAATTACAGTCAAGAATAATAGGATGTTAGGCTGAATTCTAAAAAATATAATACTGCATGTATCAATTAATATATTAAGAAGGTGAATCGAAGCTTGTAACATGTAGATTTTGAGCAGATAGTTCACTTTGATGTTTCAATGCGGAATTACTTGTTGAAAGCTCTTTGTTGGACATCTAGCGCTCGACAGGAACTGAAATTAATGTATATTACAGTTGTAGATGCTTCGCTTTTCGTGACTCATTAAAAAAGTTAATTGATTTAACAATATAATTATCCTCGAAATATGTCATTCGCCACATTGTCACAGTCAAATTTTACTACAAACTCAATTCTGTTAACTTTGCTAATGTTGAAATTCCCATGGCGAACCCCATGTCATTTCTGCTTAATTTATTTAAGGCCTACTTCTTTAATTAATAACCTAGTGATTTCTATAGAATTTTCACCATATCGAAAGCAAAATATCCTGCAGTTTTAAAAGTGCGTGGTAAGACTATATTGTGTTCAGTACAAAACAAACTAATGATCCGTTAGATTTATGCACATGCATTTTTGAGAGAGCAAACCGCGGGTATATTTCTGGCACGACAATAGCGGTAAAAAAGGGAGAAATGGCGTGTTAAAAGGTTTCTTTATTGGCTTTATTGGGAAAATCTTGAGTTAAGTATGTTGGCGGCAGAAGGCCAAGACAAGGCTAAGCGGCCAGGACAGCATCGAAGTCGAAGTATGAGGCGAGTTGCAAAGTTTATTAGAAGGAAGTTTAATTTGGTGAGTAAGGCAAAACAACAAGTATAGTATTGTTAGATTTGTCTTGGTTGTCGTACTCAAAATCTTCACAACTCTCGGTGGGGATCGTTAGGTCGTCCGAGTAATTTAGTGTCGATGATGCCATTGATAGTCGTGAAGATTTTGAGGTAATCCAAACTATCATCTTTATGGTAGTGATATTTCGTCAACAAAGAAAGACTTATTTGAGGCTATATATACTTCATCAGTTCTTTCGGCCGTGATGGATGAGTAATTATTGTAGGTAACTGGCATGCATGACTTGTGTCTGAGCTACCTGATATAGATTAAACATTTGTTTCAAGTAACTTCGACCAAAGCGGACTGTAGCATAGATACAGTGTGGAATACCACGTACACTCATGGACTTCCGTGGACGTTTGAGATATTATTTTCCGGTAGTTCGGACATAAACCGCGGCAGCTTATTGTAGAATACTCTACCTACACTGGATCACCACGTTTGTGATATCTTTTTCAGGTAGTTCAGACACAAACCACGACAGCTTATTGTAGAGTACTACCTACACTGGACCATCACGTTTGTGATATCTTTTTCAGGTGGTTCAGATACAAACCACGATAGCGTATAGTATTGTAGAATACTACCTGCACTGGACCACCACGTTTGAAAGATCACTTTTAGGTAGTTCAGACGAACCATGACAGCTATCAGTCTACATTTACTACCATGTTTGACCTAGTTGTTATACTGATATATATACTCTTGAAAAGCTATCACAGATTGTAGTTATTTATAGTGGACACTGTGTATATAGCTATAATATTTCAATTGTTTTGCAAGAGGCACAATTAAGACACTTTGATTCTTCTTCATCGTATTACTGTAAGCTATACAAGTTTCTTTATAATATTTTGTTGTTCTATATAGCACTGTTTAATTGTGGGTTAAGACTCTTGTATTTAAATTGCCCGCTTTAAAGAGAAAAGATTTTTCTAATAATGAAACAGCAGAAATTTACTTCGAAACTTTCAATTGCTGTTTTGAAAATAAAATTGCTGATATGACAATAAACCTTCAGTGACGTGGGAGGCAATTATGGTGTCGAGGAATTCTCATGGATTCGTTAATACATAAATCTTCATTAAATTCCTACACAGAAACTACAATTCTGTGTATGAAATACGACATTTTGGTTTGTTTAAGTCTTGTGATACTTTGGTCAGGACTATTGGAAAGTTGAAAGCATATCAAAACGATAAATCTTTGAGATAATTCACCAGTGAATGTTTTGTTTAACAAGCGTGGGAAATTGAAGATCATGCAATCATGCAAATCATTGATCATACGTTGATAAACATGGAATAATGCCACGAATGTCACGTCTTTTTTAAGGAATTTTTTTTCATTGCTGTGTTACATTTGAAGACAATATTTGTGTAGACGACCTACTTTTGTGGCCTTTTTGATACCCAGAATATCATAGGTATCCGTCCAGGAACTTATACGATTGATGCATGTATAATAGTTGGTCGCATGCAGAGTCTGAAGACTGTGTGGAGTTTGCGAATTGATGAATATACAGATTGAGTTCCGCACAGTGAGAAATATATTTGTGTTGTTTTGTGGGAAACATTTATTTTGCAATTGAGCTTACTGGATCCCCGAACCCGGATCTCCCGCATCTGCATTGCGTGAAAATTATCATGTAATGCATATCATTTGATCTGATGACCGATTGACCGATCCAGGCTTACGGATCGAAAACCTTGCTAAATAAATAGACGCGGTCATGAAGTTTTTCTCAAACCAAAACAAATGAATGGATTGCACCTTCGTTTCGAAGGGGACCATAAAGAGTGTAGTCTATTGAAGTCTTGAACAGCGTCCAAATGTCGTAGACGAACAACAATTTTTAATACCGAAGTTGTCCTCTTTGCCATATTAGTAGCACAGCATCTTCAATGATCTTGTGTCAGTTCTGTAAAAAACGAGATAGATCACTAAACTTATTTCTTATTTTTAGGACGAAAACTTGAACAGCGAAGGTATGTGAGGCAATATTAACTACAATTAAAAACTATGAGGAAAATGTCTAAAATGTGAATATATATAATAATTAGTTCTTTGTAGGTTTGCATGGCTATAAAACATATAATACTATATTGTTATTACTGCAATAATAATTAATTGAGAAGAAAATTGTGAAACTAGCATTTTTGTGTAGTTTCTGCCATCATAATTTGAACAACATAACTGCCGTTGATAAATAAATTGAAAGCAAATGATAGATTTGCATCGCGCGAGTCCCGTTAATACATATTATTTTAACAACAATTTAGTAATTATTTAAAATTATTCCCTAATTTGTAACTTTAAGAGCAGCGATCCAATTAACTCTTCATTCCAGCGTCATTCTTATTCAAATTTCGAAATGGCTGGAAGAATATGTAGCCTATATTTATAGAATTGTATAAATACCTATATATACTATATAAATAGAAACTGTAGGGATGTTATTAATTGGTTCACTAAAAGTTATGATACATCTTACTGTGCTCCTTCTCAATATTATCAGTTGGAGAAAAACGCATGCATGTAAAGATCGGAGAATTCGAATGATTCTGATAGATTATTTGAAACATAGACCTTTGACAGAGTCACTCAAGAACATTTTTTTAACTGTAGAGAATCAGTCCTATAGCTGTGGAATAGTCTATTTGTTAAAGCAATTAATGCTATACATCTGTGGCAACTTTCGAAAACATTTTAAAGCAATCATAATAGTTAATTTTTGAAATATTTTATTGTACACGAACAGACATTATGAATGGATTCCTTGTTCAAATAAAGTTTTTGATACTAGGCGAAAAATTATTTTGTATTTAGTCCTCTTCACGTACTATGCGCAAAAATAAATTTCTAAAATTTTTTGGTAGGGCAACTCAATCATGTTCCCCGACCACCTGTTAAAATTAAGAAGTCAAAAGTCGATGAAGACTACACTGTTTATGAAGAACTCGGAAGGTAATAGTAAATCTTTTTTAATATATCAATTGAACTTTGTTTATAGTGGATGCTCTTTTAGTTTTAAACTGTTCTTCCTAGAGGTCCAGTAAGGATCATCTCTTATTGGTCCAGTGTTATACTACAGGAGGAAACCTAAACTAAACTAGCTTTAATTATACTGGATAACTCTATCAGTTCTAAACTGTTCTTCCTAGAGGTCCAGTAAGAGTCATCTCTTATTGATCCAGTGTTACTACAGGAGGAAACCTAAACTAAACTAGCTTTAATTATACTGGATAACTCTATCAGTTCTAAACTGTTCTTCCTAGAGGTCCAGTAAGAGTCATCTCTTATTGATCCAGTGTTACTACAGGAGGAAACCTAAACTAAACTAGCTTTAATTATACTGGATAACTCTATCAGTTCTAAACTGTTCTTCCTAGAGGTCCAGTAAGAGTCATCTCTTATTGATCCAGTGTTACTACAGGAGGAAACCTAAACTAAACTAGCTTTAATTATACTGGATAACTCTATCAGTTCTAAACTGTTCTTCCTAGAGGTCCAGTAAGAGTCATCTCTTATTGATCCAGTGTTACTACAGGAGGAAACCTAAACTAAACTAGCTTTAATTATACTGGATAACTCTATCAGTTCTAAACTGTTCTTCCTAGAGGTCCAGTAAGAGTCATCTCTTATTGATCCAGTGTTACTACAGGAGGAAACCTAAACTAAACTAGCTTTAATTATACTGGATAACTCTATCAGTTCTAAACTGTTCTTCCTAGAGGTCCAGTAAGAGTCATCTCTTATTGATCCAGTGTTACTACAGGAGGAAACCTAAACTAAACTAGCTTTAATTATACTGGATAACTCTATCAGTTCTAAACTGTTCTTCCTAGAGGTCCAGTAAGAGTCATCTCTTATTGATCCAGTGTTACTACAGGAGGAAACCTAAACTAAACTAGCTTTAATTATACTGGATAACTCTATCAGTTCTAAACTGCTCTTCCTAGAGGTTCAGTAAGAGTCATCTCTTATTGATCCAGTGTTACTACAGGAGGAAACCTAAACTAAACTAACTTTATTCATACTGGATAGCTCTATCAGTTCTAAACTGCTCTCTCTAGATTCCAGTCTGTTCTGGGGGAAACGTTAAATTAACTAACTTTATGCATGTATACTGGGGATAGCTTTAAGCATTTTTTATTGTAAAACATGTTTTTGTCTGCTATTTTTCAGAGGGAAATTTGGGGTTGTAAAACGGGTAATAAAACAGTCAACTCAGGAAGAGTTTGCGGCAAAATGGGTGAAAGTGACAAGTCAAACGAAGGACGATGTTTTGAAGGAAATCGAGATCATGGGAAAATTAAATCACAAACGTCTCGTGGGATTGTACGATGCTTACGAAGTTTCTAGGAATCTTGTTCTTATCATGGAATAGTAAGTCAATGTCAATATTGGTAATTTTCGCGAAATATTTCCAGCCTAATGTCCTAATTTCAACTTATCTGTATTTCAGTATAACTGGCGGCGAATTATTTGAAAGAATAGCGAACGAAGAATCAGTGACAGAGAAAGAATGTGCGTACTATTTGAGACAATTGTTGGAAGGATTACTGTACATGCACAAAATGAGTATTGTGCACCTTGACTTAAAGGTAGGCTAAAGTCTGAGTTGTAATTTGAACTAAATTGAGAATCTTTCTAATTGTTTTTGTTTAAACAAAAGTACAAAGCGATAAGAAATTAAAGGTTGTTGTGGAAAGGTGTAGTTCTCTACATGTACTGTATATGGTGACAACAAATTTCACCCAACAAGCTTTTCGACGAGCTCCTTTTCGTAGTAAATACTAAGACCAAAATTGCTCAATTCTTGATGAGTTTCTTAATTTGTTATGACTTATGATGTCCAGTAAAGAGAAGGACTTTCTTCAGCTTATTCAGCCTTACCTATGTGTGTGTAAGAACGAATTGAAAACGTTTTTATTCAGTTCAAAAGCTGGTATGATTAAGATTAACACAAAGAGACCAGTCGAGGAAAAAGTTTTTGTCGAAGAAAAGGTTTTTGTCGTACAACGGAAGCTCGAACATATAGACCTTGTCAGGGAAAAGATGTCCCTTTTGACAGGCTTTAATAAATGATTCCTCGTTTTGTTTTCCAGCCTGAGAATATTGTCTGTGTGAGCAAGGACACTTGGGATATCAAATTAATCGACTTCGGATTAGCCAAAGAATTAAAACCTGGCAAGGTTATTAAGACTATGCAAGGAACACCAGAGTTTGTTGGTAAGTTTACCATGATGACCAGTTTTTATTTATTTGTTTAATACATAAGTAAATAAATAAATAAATATTTCTGAGGATAGGTTTAAATAGAATCTACTACTAACTGTACTATTACTCTCAGTAACTGTTAGGTATATTTGTGTATGTTCCATTCATTCCTGCAATTTCCTGATCTTCTATTACCTCGAACTTAATTTCTTATTTTCTCTCGTGTTTTAGCTCCTGAGGTGATCAATTTTGAACCTGTGTCCCTTGCAAGCGATATGTGGTGAGTAGAAGTTAAGAAATACTATGGCTTGTCGCTATCAGTAAGATATTTTGTTTGTAGTCTGTCAAAAAGTGCAGGGCATTTTCAATAGTCATTTATATAACCTGATATTCTTCTTTTTTTTGGGGGGGGGGGGTTGTTGAAACGTGGCGTTATAATTTTTCTCAAGATTACCTGTGGTTTAGAAAACATACTGATTATAATAACCCAACGCCTCTAAAGAACATATAATGACTTACATTTTTTTCATATAGGAGCGTTGGTGTTATCGCATATATTCTGTAAGTATATAAATAATCGTTTGTGGTTTTGCTTAATCTTTTTGAGAACTAAAGTTTTATCCTGGACTCTTGAGCTGTATGTCTTTTGTGTCAGAAATATCTTGAACAGACAGTTAACTTTTCTTATTATATATTTTTTAAAATTATTTTTCAGCGTAAGTGGTCTGTCTCCATTCCTTGGCGATGACAACAACGAAACGTTATCCTATGTCACTGCAGCTGAATATGATTTTGAAGACGAGGCGTTTAATGAAATAAGCCATGAAGCTAAAGACTTTATTGAAAAGTTACTTCATAAACCACCAAGGTAGTTATCAATGCCCTTTCCCTAACACTTATTGCTTACAATATCATCCAAACACAATCCAGAAATCAGAATGTTCCATTGTCTTCTCATTGTGTAAAAAGTGTAGTGTAGCGTAGCTCAGTTAGCAGAGCATTGGGCTGGTATTCCTAAGGTCGTAGGTTCGATTCCCACTGTGGCCAGGTATATTTTTCAAGCCTGCCCGGTGTGGATATACACTCAGAGTAACATCACAAGAATCTTTTGACTGTCTGTTATTCTTGAACAAAAAAATAACTTTATGCAATGCAAAGATCTTGAGGATAACAGGATTTATTTCAAAGAATGTCTGTCTAACTGAATGGTTGCTTGTTCTGTTTAGCAAGAGGAAAACAGCTGATGAGTGTCTGAAACACGAATGGATAAAGGTAAATCTTAGTTTGAAAAGCAAAAAGTTAAACGATTGACAAGGTATAGAAATTAATCCGGTTATTCCACGATGTCCACTGTGAATAACGCGGACATTGTACATGCATAATGAAATATGGCAATGAGGAGATATTTAACAATTCTCTTTTCTTTTCAGAAAAATCGAGGAAGTAATAAAATCAAGACGGATAATCTTAAAAAGTTTCTTGCAAAAAAGAAATGGCAGGTAAGTAAAAGCTAGTAATTTTGATAGCTGGCCACTCTCGTCAAATTTGAGCCAGTCAAACTTAGATGAGACACGAGATTTTTGTAGTCGTGTGACCGATAATATCCAATCAACTCTCATAAACTCTCACGCTACCCTTGTCCATTTCGTTTGACCGGGCTAAGAGAGTTCAGAACTCTCAGGTAAAGTAGCTCTCTTCTCAATTCTTGTCAGTTCTCATCATCATTTCATCATTCAATCGAATAATTTTCATAACTTTCCAGAAATCAGTTAATGCAGTCCGTGCAGTCAGACGTCTTTCCTCGATGAGCTCACTATTCAATGCGAAAACCAAAAGCAAATCAGTCGTAAAACTAGATGAACCGCCCGGAGTTAAGCCAATCCCACTGGCAGAAACGAAGCGAGACTTCAGCAAATCCATGCCTTCCGTGTTTGCGGTCGAAGGCGGACAGTTGAATAAACGTGCAATGAAAATACTGGACAGCGACACCGAGGCATCTCAGAGGTAATCATCAGTTAGGAAAATTCTTTAATCCACATTAATGTGAATCATTAGACACAATTTTGCATGGGTAAAATTCTATGTTTTGATCATGAAAGATTCGTAAGAAATGTTTGCGACTATAGTCTAAAGCAGTCATTTTTCAGCTGATTATAGTTCGATTCCCGCAATTGTCTAATTATAATTTTGTGAGAAGAGTGCTTCATATTTGACTCTGTTTCCCTTTTGTGGTACCACTGGAGTAGATTATGGGAGAACAATTTAGATATGATAAAGTTATCTAGCTATCCTTGGCACGATAGGTCAGGAGGAGTTAATATTTTTATAATAAGCTGTCATGGTTTTCGTGTGAACAATGTGAGAAAATTTTTAAAAATTCAGAAGTATTCGTTTTCAAATGGTTCCGTCCAAAAACAGCAACAGATTATTTAAATAGAGTTAGATTTGCAAAAGTTGTGTTAGATTTTTAAGTTAACTCTTGAGTTCCCATGTCAAGACATTTACTTGGTTCACGTTATAAATATGTTCCGTTTCGTTCCACAGTGAGTCAGGCTCAATGGAACAGATCAACACGGCCGACGTGGACGACAAGGATGTTCTGGAAGGATTGTTTAAAGAAAATAAGGAAATCTTGGACTTCCTGAGTTCAGGTCTGGCAAACAATGGAAAAAATCAAACTCCAACAAGAAGCCAAGAGAAGCTCGGAGGAATTTCCGAGGAAAAAGACACCAATGATGACGTCACTGGTAAGTTTAGGAAGAATCGAAAAACCAGCCAAGAGTTTAAAAAATGTAATAAAAGCAAAGTTTGGAAGTCAGTATCAATAACTCTCTTGATTTAATCCGTATCTTGAATTTCCTAAGATCTTGTTTTTCGGACTTTGTTTGTATGGGAAAAACATTACTAATTTGTTCCTACATATAAGCAAGTGAACTTAGTACAAGTTGTTGTAGGCGAGTTGTGTGCTTGAATTACACAGTACAACTCAAGTTGTAAGCAGGTTGCTGCGACAGTTTTAGGAAAAAGTCGTGTAGTTTATACAAATCAGCCAATTGACATTCTTTTGCTTATTTATCGTTCATATTTCATTCATACCAACTTTCATTCACATCTTCAGCCAAACCCGAGTTTGTTGACCCACTACCTTCCACCTACACTGTTCCCAAGGGAACGCCAGTGTTGATGACGTGTACAGTACGTGGCACCCCAGATCCGACCGTCACGTGGTTCAGGCATGACAAGGCGCTCACTCACGAGGACACTGACGTTACAATAGAAAGAGAAGGAAACGAATGCAGTCTTTCTATTGGTCAATGCGAAGTACAGGACGAAGGAAGTTATTCGTGCATGATACAAAATGAGTTTGGTCAGGCGACAAGCAACACCAAGCTTGATGTACAAGGTGTGCAAGTTAAACTCACTTTATTTATACTGGACAGCTCTGTCAGTCCTAAACTGTTCTTCCTACAGATCGAAGTAAGAGGCATCTCTTATCGACCTAGTGTTACTACAGGAGGAAACCTAAACTAAATTAACTGTTATAAACTATTCTATCTAGAGGTGCATTAAGGGTCATCTCTTATTGATCCAGTGTTACTACAGGAAGAAACCTAAACTAAACTAACTTATTTGTACTGGATAGCTCTATCAGTTCTAACTTCTAAACTGTTCTTCCTAGAGGTCCAGTAAGAATCGTCTCTTATTGCTCCAGTGTTACTACAGGAGGAAACCTAAACTAAACTAACTTTATTTATACTGGATAACTCTATCAGTTGTAAACTGCATGTTCTTCCTGGAGGTCCAGTAAGGATCATCTCTTATGGATCCAGTGTTACTACAGGAGGAAACCTAAACCAAACTAACTTTATTTATACTGAATAGCTCTGTCAGTTATAAACTATTCTGTCTAGAGGTCCATTAAGGGTCATCTCTTATTGATCCAGTGTTTCTACAGGAGGAAACCTAAACTAAACTAACTTTAGTGTCAAACGTGATTGAGGTGAAATTACAAGCAGACTGCATATTTTCAGAAATCAACCTCTGGTCATACACTAACCAGTGTGTTACAATCTTTTCAGTTTCACCAGATTTTGTTCGAGAAATGCGCGATGCGTCGGTAGAGGAACAAAAACGAGTCCAGTTCGACGTACAGATCAGTGGCAAACCCCTGCCGTCAGTGGAATGGTACCATGGTGACACTTTACTCCAGGATGACAGATGGATAAAGATTCGTCATAGTACTAGGGACAATACATGCTCCTTGGTGATACGATCGGCTACCGCTGAGATGCGTGGAGTGTATAAATGTGTGATCACGAATCCATTGGACAGTATATCATGTACTGCTCGATTGCATATTGAAGGTGAGCAAAGGAGATTGAAAACTGGGGATTGCTGTCGAGTTGATAGGCTAGGCTGACTTTATTTCTTGTCGATCCAGGGTTACTACAGAAGGAAACCTAAACTAAACTAAACTAGCCTTATTTTAATATATTGGAAAGCTCTATCAGTTCCCAGTAAGAGCCTATACCCCTGATGGTCCGGTATTACAACAGGAAGACACCAAAATTTTGGTTAGATTAGATAACATTTTTACTGTTGCTCTGTTCGTCTTAAAGTTGCAAAGGACATCTCTTCTTCATCCATGCCACTGTATATGGTAGAGTCGAATTGTAAATAAAATCCTGAGATGCAAATAAGGAGACATTTTAATCAAATGATTACATGCTGCTAGAACTTAATCCCAGTCGCAAAAGTGGAAGATAAATGCTCGCACCATTGAACCACAAACATCCCATAATCTCATTTCACCCCATGCGGCATTTTATTTTATGAAATATCTTTCTTCCTTCCTCGAAGGTTACGACGACGAAGAGGACGAAAATGAAGAAGATGAAGTTCTGGAGGAAACGTCTGCGAAGGAAGTGGAAGATGAAGTTGATGCTCATGATGATCATCCCCGAGTTTCATTGCGAGAAGATGATATCAACCAATACTATGACATCAAGGAAGAAATAGGAAGGTAAGTGGAGGTTTTGAATTTGATGGTAGAAGTTTGGAAGCTCTATCAGTTCTCGCGGTTTAGTTTGTTCTTATTAAATAGTGCATCTTTCTTCATTTGTCTAATATTAGGCTGGTTTACTGTACACTATCAAAGTTTCTGTGATCACAGTAGGAATTTTGCATAGGTAAATTCTAAATTTTGAAGGATTTGTAAGAAATGCTTGAGAAAACTGACTTTACGCCTGTATTCTAAAATCTCACTCACACTCAAAGAGTGGAGGTTCAATCTGAGCTTCCCTTGAGTGTCAATGCTGTTTTTGAATAGCTAGAAGGTGAGTAGTCACATAGTAAGGTACGATACTAACCCTCCAGCTATTTAAAAACAGCACTGACACTCAAGGGAAGCTCAGATTGAACCTCCACTCTTTGAGCGTGAGTATGAGTGAGCTTTTAGAATACAGGCGTTAGTATTTAACACTGAGTTAGTTTCCTCGAACATCCTTCAAAACTTAGAATTTACCTGTGCAAAATTTCTGCTGTGATCATTGAAACTTTGATAGTGTATAAAACGAGTCTATATTTAGTGCAGGAGAAAAACTAAACTAAACTAAATATAGCTCTACTGAATGTTTATTATCGACGTCTGGAGAAGACCATCGTATCTCTTCTTGGTTCACACACGCGAGTGTTTGTTCGATTCAAAACTGGGAAGCACTCTTCTCAAATGCGAAACCTAATCATAGCAATTTATGGAAATGCACCATGCAATTTATGGAAACATTTAAATTCATTTTCAGAGGACGTTTTGGAGTCATCTACTACGCTATTCACAAGGAAACAGGACGTGATTATGCCGTGAAATATATAAAAGTGAGAAAGAGTCAACGAGATCAGTTTCAGCACGAGATCGACATCATGAATCATTTACGACATCGGAGATACATTAGACTGTACGAAGCGTTTGAAGAATCAAGAAAACTGATCCTTGTTCTTGAACTGTAAGCATTACTTTATGTTTGTTCAGGTTTTATTTTGAATTTTGTTTTTTTATTGCAAACGAACTTTCTTTGCCTTAATTGACAAGTACTTTACAATTTTGCTAAGAAGAACTTATTATATTTTTTCTTTCGCAGAATGCGTGGAGGAGAGATGTTGGAAAGATTGTCGGAGAAAGATTATTTAACAGAACACGAGATAATAAGATATGTGAAACAAATCTTGGAGGGAGTCAAAGATATGCACGAAAAAGATGTTCTACATCTTGATCTGAAGGTAGAAAACGCTTGTTGCTATCCTCTGAAGACAGGTTCCATGCAAGTGTTTTAAGTACTAGATTTTTTATGTAGTTTAGACAGTTTAAAACCATGGCAACTTAAGTAAAATCTTTGTTTTCTAGCCCCAAAACATCATGTTTACAACTGAAGAAAGCAGCAATCTGAAATTGATCGACTTTGGCTTAGCAAGAAAGTTGAATGCTGAAAAGGATCTCAAAATTTTGTTTGGTACTCCGGAATTCGTCGGTAATTGATTTATATATAAAAACCTGTCTAGTGTTAATCAAGGTCTTAATGTTGAATTAATTATCGCCTAACCGAAATTCGTAACCCTTACCCTAACCCTAACCATCCATCATTTGTCTTCGTTGTAGCCCCTGAAATTGTCAATTACGAAACCATCACGCCTGCAACAGACATGTGGTAAGTACTGACACTTTGATGGATCCTGTGGATGGATTTCATCCATGTTGTTTAACAGATTATGTTCACATTTACTTGAAGAATTGAACTGAAGTTTTGTATTTGAATCTTCTTTATTAGGAGTGTTGGCGTTGTCACGTACATACTGTAAGTACATTTTGAAAACAAACCCTGTAGATATATGACAAACTTTGACCAAGGTACAACTTTAGTTCAAAGAATACTTGGTAGTGGAATGTCTGGTGTGGAAGTAGAATTAATGATTAAATATTGAATAATGAATGTGAACGTTTTGGGCAGGAATTTAAATATCTCTGACAGGAATGTGGATATTTCTTGCCAGAATCACTCCACCCCCAATGGTGTAGTTGTAAACGAGCGTTAGTAAATCATTTCATCTCAGTTTCTTCACAGGATACATTATTCGTCATTTTCGTTCTCTATAGTCTTTCAGGTGTGTCTCCCTTCTGGAGTGACGATCCTGACATAACTCTGTCCAATGTTACTCAAGCTGTATGGCAGATGCCTGAGGAGTTGTTTCAAGGTGTCAGTGAAGATGCCAAAGATTTTCTTACCAAGCTGTTGGTCAAAGATCCTAGGTTAACATTTTTTCCTTGTGTTTCAAAAATTGTGAAAAAATGAGTTGTTGTGGAAATTTCTCCTGTTCATCTTTTTTATTTTTTAAAATTTTTTTTTCAAATAATAATTTTAGCAAAAGGATGAAAGTTGATGACGCTTTCCAACATCCGTGGATCAAGGTCACTAAAAAAACCGATCTTTTTCATTTTCAATAATTATTGTGTTACTTATTATTTGTGCTCTTTGTTTCTGTAGGCTGCAAAACAAGAAGACACAAACTCAAATCTTATTTCAACGGAAAGACTTAAAAAATATTACGGCCACCAGAAGGTATGTAGATGATCTCTTTGAGTTTAACTGAAACAGATATCATTGAACGATGTTAACCCTTTATCCACGAACTACCTTCCAATGTATTTCACTCTGTCTAATACCATCGGCTCGTTTTTATTTTGAACAAGGGATTAATCAGTGCACGTGTTATAACGTCCGTCGGAATGAAGAATGAAGATGAAAGAAGACGTCCCGAAGGTAAGCTGGAAACTTTTGAACTGAAATGGTTCGTTTGGTATTTTAGTTCTTTTAAAACAACTATTAATAATGCCTTAATGCCTTTATACGAAAATCTGCAAAATTTATCGACCTACATCTATTAGTTAAGTTGTTCTTATTGAAATCTGTAGTACCTGGAAACGATTAAGAACTTGACCAGCAAGGGAATTTCGTCAGAATGTTCTACTAATTTTCTTATGAAGTGGTTCTCTCTGAATCTTTTTAAACACTTCAGACACAAACCACGGTAGTCTATCAATCATTTATCAATAAAGGTTTTAGTATGCCGTACAACTCGTATTATTTCCTCTTCAGGTGAGAAAATCAAGACTGAAGTCAACACAGAAGTCAGCAACGAAAATAACGACAACAACAACGACTCACCAAGTTCTCTTGTTTCCGAACTAACAAAAGAAAGGGACGACCTACAACAGCAACTTGACGAACTTTTAGAAAAATACAGCAGTATGGAAGACGAACTTCGTGCAGTAAAAACTGCTAATAAAGAACAAGAAGAAGCCTTAAATAAAATTCAAAAAAGAAACAGACTTTTAGAAGACAGGAATATTGCGAATCAAGAGGCTACGCAGCGTTTAATCCGGCTAGAATGTGAAAAAAGGGATTTGGAAGACAAATTTCAACAAAAGGACAAGAAGTTTAACGATTTGAGCAAAAAATACGAAAAAATTCGCGAGAAAGCAGCGTCTTATGACTCCATGGAGGAAAAGGTGTTATATCTTGAAAAAGAACGTAAAACTAGCCAAACACAATGTAAAAAGGTGGAAGAGCAATTGAAACAGTTACAAGAAGCTCACGAAGCTTTAAAATCGACAGATGTAGCGAAGGGAAGGTCTTCTATAGCTGAAGAAGACGAAAATGATGTGCTAGAAGACAAAAATGGTCCCCAAGATGATAAAAATAGCTCCTCAAGAGATTCGAATGAATTTGAAGGCAAAAAACAGTCAAAACTTTCGCAGGATACAATTGAAAGCGACAACGAACTTAATAATAAAGTAGAACTTATGTCTAAAGAGCTGGAAATTGCTCAAGCCGAGATTCAGCGGTTGAATAAGACCATCAGTTCTCAACTTGAGGATTTGGAAGAATTGGAGCGCGTTGGGGAGCACAAGAAGAAACTGGAGACGAGATGTAAGGGTCTCGAGGAACAATTGGTTGAACTAGAACACGAGGGAACACAGAGGGAACAAGAGATTGATGAGATGGAAGAGGATATACTGGATTTACAGGTTCGTAGTTCTGATCTAGATATAAAATTGGATCATCATGCTGCTGTAGAACAATTAAAACTTATTATATTTATACAGGAGAAGCTTGAGAAATCCCATAAGGAGTTGCGCGCTGTGTTGGAGGAGAACAAAGCACTGAAACAAGGCTCAGAAAGTGGTGAGAGGACACGTGGGAAAATTAGGGATATTAATGTGCATACAAAAATGGTAAATGGTGACGAGAAATCTTCCAATGTTGCCATAAAGGTGGGTCATATAAACTAAAACGTCCCTTTGAGGGTTGTTGGTAATATAGAATTTTCTTTACTAGGAAACTCGGAACAGTTTAGATTTAACAAAGTTAGTTTACTTGTCTTAATTCGCATTTCCTATTGTAGTATTGTAGTATTGTAGTATTGTAGTATTGTAGTATTGTATGGTATGCTCAACACTGGTCATACATGTTAGACAGCTAAAGAAGACAGTTTAACACTGATACAGCTATTTATTATTCAGGAAGTTAGTTTAGTTTAGATTTCTTCCTGTAGTGACACTGAATTAACAAGAGATGATCCTTACTGGACTCTAGGGAGAACAATTTGGAACTGATAGAGCTATCTATTATTCATAAAGTTAGTTTAGGTTTCATCCTGTAGCATCCTATCAATAAGATATGATCCTTACTGGACCTCTATAGAAAGAACAGTTTAAAACTGATAAAGCTATCCATTATTGATAAACTGTTAGTTTAGTTTGGGTTTCTTCCTGTAGTAACACTGGACCCTACCGTTAGGGATATTTTCCTTACTGGACCTCTAGCAAGGAAAGTTTAAAACTATAATATAGTTATATAGTTATTGGTTTGGTTGCAAACTACAATATTATCATGAAAAATAATCTAAACTGTCACTTTTTAGCAGGAAGCAAGTGACAGATCGGAAAAAACGAGGGACGTCACAGACCAAAATGGGTCTAATAGGGTCATGAATGGTGACAAGGGATCTCCTAGGGTCAAACACAGGAAAAGATCAGCCGAGCCAGTCGAGGAGAGAAAGACAGAATATGTAACCAAGCCTGCAGTGATGACGAATGGCTCAGAAATCTCCGATGACGACACTGATATCTTTGAAGATGATGCAGAGTTCTCTGCGAAATATTATCAGTTAGAAAAAGAAATTCAAGAACTGTTGAGCGAGAAATTTAGTGAGACGACTGGAAATAACGGTAAGTAATAAATGCCTAAGGCGTTTTAATATCTTTTATCAAATCATTAAATTTAAAAATTGCACAAATTATATACAAAAGATTTGCTAATTTTTTCGAAATTTTGAGTAACTCATTACATGTCTATGAAGTTACAATTATTCTTGTGTGTGGAAGCATTGAATAAAACCAGGAAAGGCTGGTGATTAAACATTAACATTTTTTGCATTTGTTGGCCTTGTTTTATTCTATGCTTTCGTAAACTATATAACGATACTAACTGTATCAATGTCATGAGTTAGTAGAGAGTTTCACGACGCGACTAGAGAAGACGCATTAGAAAAGCTTGGTAACTAGCGCAGCAACGCGTCTTTTGTAAATTCCAAGCCTTTCTAACGCGTCTCCTCTCGCCGCGTCGTGAATCGTATTACGAACTCTCTAGTGTGAATTTGGCAAGAACGAGGGAAATTTTACTTTGGTTGCAATTTTTATCGATATTATTAGCAAGAATATTTTCGACGTCGAAAGTACTAATTATATAATATATGCATGTGCAAATGTCGTTCAGCTGTCGTCTAATAGGAAAAAATGTCAATTCGAACGAAATTTATCCATATTCATCACATCGCACGTAGAGTTCAGCTTTGTATATTCTAATATTCAAGAATTAAGACTGGCTGCTTGCAATTTTGTACAATTAATAATAAAAAAACTCCTAATTCCCACGTTTTATATCAGTGACAGTGCTGGATTTTCAATATACGCTTATTTAATACGCACAACATGTTTATTTATTTTACCGAATTTATATTGTATAAAGTTGAAATTTATAACTATATAGCACTGTTTTAGAATGTTATTTTCACTCTTCAGTAATTTTAATGCCTTATAATAATTACTAATTAGTCAGATAATTAATGATAATTAGTATCAGTAATCAACAGTTTAATAATCTTCAAAATGAAGTTACTAATGATTTTATGCAGTATGCAACAATATTGTTTTGTTCGTAAAGATAGCGGCAATTATACGTAAATGACGTACGTCATATGTTAATTGTGATAATGTACTAATATATTACTGACTTTTATAATTAATATTATTAATACAATGATGATATCTTATATACCTTACATACTATATTTTTTATACAATCTTGTATTTTACTGACAGAAATTATTTTTGCTGCAAATGTTATGATTCTAGGGAAAATTATTATAAGACATACGAAAATGATAATAATAATAGTACTGGGACCGCGAAACAGGGGGCGGGGCCATGCCCCACCCCACTTTTTCGGTGGATGAAAAATGACCAGATAAAATCCAGCTTACTTGCGTGGAATAGCTCCCGTGCTATCCTAATAATTTTATAATTTTTTGGAATCGCTTGTTTTTTCATTTTTGTTTATGAATCGAAAGAGAAGACTCATTTAAACAGCAACTTACTCCCACTGAATCCCTGAAAACATTTGCAGCAGAAATTATCGGCGAAAAGGCAAAAAAATCGTGGATTAAATATGGTAGAATTAACAACAGTATAATATTTTTATAATCATTTTATATTTTCAGCTTTCTCTGACGTTTCTTCTTTGAGTCGATAGCTTTTCGTTTTTTCTATTTAATAAATTTAGTTCGAACAACTCTTCAGCTGTATCTCTATATAGATTAAATTGTTTTTTATTTGAATGACTGATAAAAAATGTTCCAATGCTATAATTCGCCGTAGATTTGAAATCTTGTTATCCTAAACCAACTCAAAACGGTTTTGTCAAAACATTTCATAAAAAATCAAAAGTCCAAAAGATGTCGGTCAGGAAAAGCTGGAAAACGAACTTGAATTATTGCTCTAAAACAAATTGGTATTTGCAAAAAGCACGCACTAACAGCTAATATTACAGACTACACTTCGGGTAGAAATGTATTTTACTCAAAATTAATATTGTATTTTTTCGTAATTCGATCTATATAGGCTATATATACTACTAGCTGAACATGTATATTTTATATATATTAATTGTAAATAGCAATGTATCGAGTGCGTATATCAACTAACAATATAACACTAATCATTGTCTTGTGTACTGGTTATTTTTTTACATAGCTCAAAGAAAACTAATTTTTATCAAGAGTGAATTTCAAGAGATTTAGAGACGGACTTAATTTGTTAATTTTGTAACTTAAAATTTATATGTCATAAAAAATGTAATATATGAATTATAACATGAATGAATCTAATGAAATTATTCTAAACCGTAAAATTTTATAACAAAACTAATTTAACCGCTTAATATGGCTTATGCATTAATGTACTAATATACTACCGACTGATATAATAATAGTAATATATATGATAATAATACTATTATATATGATATGATGTAATAATATGATAATAATTCCTTATAATTCATATTTAAATATGATAATACAATAATAATAATAATACTATTTTTTAAATTATAATAATCATATACTATGTATATAATTAACTTAACAAATTATCAATGTATACTATTAATCAAGTAGTAGTTATAATGATAATATTAATTAATTAATTCAAACTAATTATTACAATTAACAATATAATGACAAGAAATTAAAACTATACTGATTAGTGATTTTTTAACACACAAATAACATTGAAACACTATAAATTATAAAACATACTGATAATGTCCTGCAGAGCATGGTTAAGATTTTATAGTGTATTTTTAATAGTTTTATATTGTTTAAAAAAGCAATCAATAATTGTAAAACATGCTATTGAAAGCCGGACGTGAAAAGTCGGGTTAATTTTAAAGTACTAAAGTGTTTTATATTAACGATTCGAAAAGTCTTTCAAATTTTAAAATTTTCCTGCAAAATTTTACCTCTCAAAAACGAGATAAAATAATATCAGTGACACAAAAATTTAAGCGCGGTTTAATTTTTGCGCATGCGTGCAAATACTTATCCCACAAAGTCTGCCTGCATTGTGTGACTATATAAGATTTTTTATTCGATACTCAATCTCGAAACCAGAGCCCACAATACTGTACTATATAAATTAAATTTGCTTACTATTTTTTTTCAGGCCGCCTGGCCTGTAAAACAAAATAAAACAGAAAAAGTACTATTAAATTTAGTTGTCTTTGTGAGATACCAGGTTTTTTAATTCGATACCAGCTTACCAGTACAGATACTTAAAACAATAATACTATCCAGTTATGATTCAGTGATCAAAATTTTCCATTGTCTTTTCATTGTTTTCGAAATGGTAGAATATCGTATTAGGACAATTAGGTAAAATGGACTTATCATCCTCAGTAAATCAGTCACAAGTGTGTTGCCGGGGAAGTCATGCCTGATGACAGTGTTTTCGCGCAATTTGATTGGTTGGTCACCTCCGGACCAAAACAAAATGTCCTCGGAATGGTAACATGGTAAGTTTAACCCATTCAACGTTTATGCGCGAGGGCACAAATTTTTATAAACTTGAATTAGTTGTTTTATGTGATCAAACATAATGTCATTAATGTGCAACAATGTAGGATAATGTTCTGGGCCGCAACGTATTGGAATCTTGCCTTAATTATCAGGTTTATTTCATTTACTGATTTAAATTTTATCTTGATAATACCATACAGAAAAATAATTATTACGGTTGCGCCTTAAGTATCGTGTAAAGCTTTCGTTCAAAATTTTAACAATTAAAAAGCTTGATTACCATCCCCAAAAATTCCGGTGTAAAAATATATCCTTTTCAATTCAGTATAAAGCTCATATTAATATTGACTGCTTTTAATTCTTCTACCTGAAGCATTTCAAAAAGACATGGCTTTATGCCTTTCCCAACCACATGAAATAAGGGCTTAGCTTAATCTTTACTCCGTTAAATAATTTAAACTAAGTGATCAATTAACATTTTTTGTGTCCACAAATTTCCACCCACGCGCAATAAAAAATTCCATACACTTTATAGTCAGTATTTTTGTCAATACACTTTCGTAAACAAACAGACATATGTCGATGGTTGTCAACAGTAAAAAATGCCAGAAACGAAAAATATAATTTGTTAGCTTGTTTCTACAAGTACAACTACTGAACTACAACTGAATTTCACCATGCACTCATAGCCCCCCAAATATCGTTCTTTGGCCATATATGTCGAAGCAAACATCAGCAAATATTGCTCGCTCCATTGAACTTGTCATTGCACAAAATTTGCATGTTTGACATTAATGTTTTATATTACAGTACAAAGGTCTCTGTTTGAGTCTATATAGCATGCAGGGTCATGGTTTGAAATTAAGCAATTTAGAATTTCGAAAATAAATTCTGTTATTACTTTTATGTACTTTTGTTATAGAAGGGGAAAGTGACAATGCGAATATTAAAGATCCTTCAAGTCACGTAAACGAAACAACTTCGAAAATATCTTTGCCTCGAAATATGGATATCAAACAACTACGACAGCTCAGCCGGAAACTTATGAAGGCAAATAAAAGCTTGATAGCTATGAACGAAAAACTCTACAAGGATAAGGAACAAATTGAACGACAAAATGAACAGCTTCAGAACGAATTTGGACAGAAATTACAAACGCTTGAGAAAGAAAACGAGACATTTAAGAGACTGTTGAAGGCAGAAGACAAAATAAATTCTGTGGATGAGATTTTGAGTAAAACCACAATTGAAGCGTTAAAGACTGAGCTGGCTAGCCAAGGAGCAACGAGCTCGGAGCTGAAAATGGTTGTGGATGACGAAGCGAAACCATCGAATATTCCTGAATGCTCGCAGAATGAAAATGATGTTATTCAGCTTGAAATGGTAAGCACATTTTCTGAAGATAATTATGACAAGCATTTACAACTAGCAGTTATAGGTATCATTCAATAACTGCTCTTATATAGCTCGGCTCCAAAAGTCCATCTATATACATCGAATTCACTACGTTTCAATTTGACCTAGATAAAACACTTATTGACACCTTTTGGAGGAAACGACTGATGTTACATCATAGATATCTTATATCTATGTGTCACATGTCTCCATGCATGCATTGCATATAAATCCACCAAACACAGGGTCAGGCCTAGCTGCCATGGTGTTGTGCATAAAATACTATATATGTACTGGGTTTTTACCATGAATATACAAACTTTAACAGTACAAAGACAGGACAAATGATAATTATAACAGATAAGACAAAACAGGATTTATAGATTAGACAAAAAAGACAAACATTTCTTTTGACCAATAGTCAATATTCAATGGACCATATCATTATTTAGCGGACATGCATCAATGTCATTATTTTCAGTTTTTAAATATATACGAATATATAGTATAGCTTGTAGATATAGTGTAGGTGAAATAAGGAATAGATGAAGGCAGGAAGATTTATCCACGAATTGTATTTTTAACACAATAGTGGGTTAATTACAAATTGTAAAGCAAAACATATTCATCAAATAGTGTTGTATATATTGTTATATAGGTTTTGTTGTTTGTGTTAGAGACTGATACGGGGATCATTTTCATGAATTTGCATGCATAGGGTCTGCACGTATTAAGTTTGACATTTGTATAAGATGGCTTGAGAAGGTCATTGAGTTGCACCTGTATAAGGAACACGTGTGCGACTTGTTTATTATGTGAGCAAAATGACTATACAGTACCACACGCTTATAAAATCTCACATCTTGTATCGATATTGAGTTCTAAACTGTTCTCACAGTAAGAGTATCCCTAATTTGTTCAGTATTACTACAGGAGGAAATTGGAGTAACTGTAAGAAACATGGGACGATCTTTTGTCGAGTTAGCGAAATTTAAAAATTGTGATACCAACAAAATATTGTTCAACTGACATTGTTCCATTACAGGAATGATTATAATGGTCATCATTTGTGGGAATCAATTACATTCATGAACCGCTTAGCTTATCGTCACTAAAAGGATCTACAGGAATAAAATATTTAAGCCTGTCACGATCTTTCTCAACGGCTAGTTTATAATAGTTTATACCTGTAAGCCACATATAAATCATAAGTATTCTCTAGTTATAATCACTCCGCGTATTTTCAGTTCTAAAATGTTGTACATTTCGGCTGATGAGAACGATCGTGACTCAATCTTCACGACCATATGGAAACCAGGTTTTACCTTACTCTCTTTAGAAAATTAAAGCAATGAAGAACGACAAATCGCTGATGGTATTCAGGTACGAAAACGAGCTCGAAGAATCGCACAATTTCTATGAGGAAGAAGAGCAAAAATTAAAAACATACTACGAGGAACGCATCGCTTCTGTTGAGAAACAAAACCAGAACTTAAAATCTCAAATTAATGGTTTAATGTCCTTCAACGACAACAAGAGAAACAACTGTGAAGTTCATACCAAACAGTTGAATGACCTAAAGCGTTTACATCAGGACGAATTACAAGAGGTTGAGAAAAATTTAGCTTTAACTTTGTCACAGCAACTTCACTCGCTGACTAATTTATCCGAGCAAGAAAAAACTGCTATTACTAAAGAAAAAGACGCGGAGATAAGTAGATTAAGCGAAAATTGTCGAGAGTTGAACGACGTTATTGCAAATCTACAAGAACAGGTTGGAAATTATCCAGAAATTCTGGAAAAATGCAAAGATTTGGAACGTCAGCTAAGCGAGGAAAGAGAGCGCTGTGAAGCGTTAGGAAAAGAAGTTGAAGAGCAACGACAAGAGCAACAACAACAACAGCAAAAACAGCAACAACAACAGCAGCAGCAGCAGCAACAACAGCAGCAGCAACAACAGCAGCAACAACAACAGCAACGACAGCAACAACAACAATGCGAAAGTTGTGAGCGATTAAGAAGTCGTGTCCATGAACTCGAACACGAACTGGTCGCTCTACGAAAATTGGAAGAAGACAACATCTTACTTGCAGGCGAGAATGAAAAGCTTATCGAGCAGTTAGAAGTCGAGAGACAAAAACTAGATTTGATGACAAACAATAACTTGCCGGACAGCGAAACCAAACTCAAGTTGGAAGAACTACACAACGAAAAAAGCCCGTCGAAAATGAAAGAAAATTCGAAAAAGTATTTAAAGAAGCGTGTATCACAGCTTGAGAACGATTGTAAGGACTTGTGGAGAAAATTGCAAAGCGAAGTGCTCAAGAGTAAACAGAAAGAATTGGAAATTAATCGAGAGACGACGGAGAAGGAGCGAATACTTCAAGCACTTCACAAATCACAGATTTCCAACACGCATGAAAACGAGACTCGGCAAAGTAAAACGAGTAACGTTTCGTTGAATAGTTCAAACAATGATGACGAGACGGCATCGATAAATGAAGACAAAGATAATGATTATTTTGTTGTAAAAGAAAAGTTGAAAAAATCGCAAAGCAGGACACATTTACTACAGGTAAATATGTCGTCATATGTTGTTTGCATTCGTAGTACACTCGTAAAAATCTCACAACTTATTACCAAGATGTGTTCGCAGCAGGCTTGCAGCAAGCTTGTCAACAAGTTGCGGTAAGAATGCTGTCATATTTTATCAAGTTGTTACAAGGTTATCACTTACAACTTGCTGACAAATTGTTGAATTGCAGGACGATAACAAGTTATTGGAACAACGGGTAACAAGTCTGTTGAACTCAACAAACTTGTAGCAAGTTGTCAACAAGATCTGTTGGCAACAATTGGCAACATATTCCGAAAATTCCGGTATTTCCTGAAATATATCCCGTTTTCCTTCCCAAAATCAGAACATATTCTGTTTCCTGGTTTGTCCACCACATGACAATGAAACAATGTTCAGGGGCGTCAGTATAACAACCATTATCAACGAATATTCTGATCATTAATCGAATGCAATGGAAACACTCGCATATAAATGTCAATCCTATTCATTTTTGTCCGTTAGACCGAGATAGACCGACTACGGGAGAGTTATTCCAATAACCTGAGCAAGGAACTTGAAGATATGGAAAACAAGTGGACACAAAGACTAAGGTAAGTCGATGTTTACTTGGTTATTATTTTTAAACTATCTTTATTCATATTGGATTACTCTAGTATGATTACAGGCCGGAGTACCTGAAGAAAATATATGGTGTTTGGTTAAGTATCTCAGTCACTGTGACACCAACACCCTTTTAGAGATTTTTTACTGATGCGTTTTTAACTTTACAGACGAGAATGCAATGCTGTTCATTCTGAAATGGCTGAGGAGTTCAGGAAACAAAAAGAAGCTTGGAGGAAAAAAGAGTCTGAACTTCACTGCGTTGTAAGTATGTCATAAATCTGACGCCTTGTTACCAAAATGCACCATAAAATAAACACTAATTGAAACTTCGTGTTTTCTATCCCGTAATCTAGATAAAAGAACTTCAAATTCAAATTGAGGAGACAGAAACAGATCGTAAAGGGTTGGAGAAGGAACTGAATGCATTGAGAGCAAAAGGACAAAATGGTCTGACAGTTTCTGAACGTTTAGTAGAAGATAAATCTGATGAAAACAACGGCAGCAAGAACAGTGATAACTACACAGCATCGGTAGAAAAAGAAGACAATCAAATTCAAGGTATTCAAAATTTTATTTAAGTAAAACTTCATGAAGAGCAGTATTCAGTCTGAAAAAATGTGCGGGACTTCAAGTTTCAACCATCTTCTCTTACTGTCTTCAGTTTCCTCCTATTGTAACACTGAACATCGGATCAATGTTTATTCTTGTGCTGCACCTCTCGGAAGAACAGTTTAGAACTAATGAATGAACTACTCCCTGTAGTAACACTGGATCAATAAGAAATGATCCTTACTGGACCTCTAGGGAGAACGGTTTAGAACTGATAAAACTATCTAGTATAAATAAAGTTAGTTTAGTTTAGGTTTCCTTCTGTAGTAACACTAGATCAAGAAGAGATAACACTTACTGGACTTCCAGGGAGAATAGTTTAGAACTGATAGAGCTATCCAGTATAAAGAAAGTTAGGTTTAGGTGCTTTCATAATTAATCCTATTTTAGTAATACGTATATTACTCTAAGTATTAAGTTAATAGTTCTCTTTCTTAGATTACATCAGCGACAGAGACCTACGTCGCCTTGCTTACAAACTAAAGAAAGACCAATGGCTACGCCTTGCAAAACTTCTTTCCCTCTCGGAGACAGAGATTCGTGAAATAGATCAACTGAAAGTAGGCAAAGATGAAAAAGCATTTCGTGTGCTTAGCGAATGGCGGACTTCTGCCGAGGAGATCACCGGTAATCAAGTGTCGCAATTAGCGTTAGCATTGGAAGAGATTCGGCGAAAAGATCTTGCACAGTTTGTGATGGAGCATTGTATGGCTGGTAAAATTAGGAATAAGTTGGTTGGAGTGTAGAAGTACAGAGTTTGGTTTCAGGTTATTTGTATTTTAGTAAGCTTGTCAACGATTGGCTTAACAGTTAACAGCAACTGCAATATTGACTTTAGTCAAAAGTATAAACGTCGGGAGGTCCGGAGGAGTGGTCAAAAGGGCGGACTTGAATTTATATTTCAATGTTGTTAGATGATAATTGAAGTAAAATAGTTGTGATAAAGGTTTCTCCACATTGATTCTTGTTCAATATTCACAAATCTGAGCTGTCTTTTTATAGGCTGGGGCCAGGGCCTGGGGTTTCTTGGGAGTGGGTGTAGGAGGGACAACTCTCATTCCCTGGCGCGTTTCTTGCCCTAGAAATTTTTAAAAATTTTTATGCTCCAGGACTTTCCAGGCGAAGTGGATTAGCACCTAACCTTGTTCACAAATCATGTGGAAATTGCCTTATTTGCAGAAATTATAAGATAAAAGTCATAAAACATAATTTCATTCTCATTTCCTTCAATTCCAATTACATATTTCTTTTCAAATACTATTTCCAAATTTCCTTCCAAAGGCAAGAATATTCTATTATTCTCGGCCATCTTGTCTGTACAAGATGAAGTATATTATTGCCACAGGGAAACGGCTGACCAAATTGAACGATGAAAACAAAAATGGCGATCAAATTAAATGAAGAATTTGGTTTCTGCAATTTTTCTGTTGGTACTACGACCCCGTTTGTTTGCATCGAAGTAATGTTGGGGGAGACTCGATGCAATGAATCTTACTAAGCAAACCAAGTTTGCATGAAGGTATATTTAATATGGCATTTTATATAGACCTATCATTTCATAATAAACAAATTTTGTTTCCAAGGGCATTTAAAATTTTAAAATTTTGTTGTCTTTGTTCAGGGGCTATTTTTCATGATAATAAAGCAAAAAAATATTCGAGACAAAATGAAATACAGTAATATGAGTAATAACACGATGATAAGCGAACCGTGAACAATTCAAATACTGTAGTCAAGCTAGATCAACAAGTGCCTTGCTGCATTATGCATAAGTCAATTCCTGGAGTAACCACCACCCCCGGAACACCCCCGGGAATTTGCCTGATAGACAGTTCACAGGGGTCAGGAATTTGCCTTTCATGTATGTGCATGGGGGCCAGGTATTGTTATAGTCGCTAAGGACCCTGGGGATTTGACAAATGGTTGCCCAGAATCCCACCCGCAAATTTTAAGGCAGCAAAACCTAGTTTCAGGCATGCATGTGGGCACGCTGATCATATTTTGCGCCCTCATGGTCAAGGTGGTGTAAAATTTTTTGTCAGAATAAGGGAAAATTATAACCTGTGCTGTGCAAATTTAAGTACAACTATTGAAGGTTTATGATTTCATTGTTTAAATACTTTTAACCACTCTTAGGGAGTGGTCATTATTTATGGGGAGGGGGGGGATTGGGAAATGGGGAAAATAAGCATTGAAAACTTTTTTGACCCCCCCCCCCCTCCAGACTGAAGGCAAACTTTTTG